CTCGGAAAATGCAAACTCCACAAACATTTTCAGCTACAGGTTTTAAAAACTAAACATTTTAATATAGTCCACATGGATTTCCCTCCACTTTGATTTCACAGCCTTGATGACTGACTATAGATGCTAAAAGTTTGTGACCTAAAACCTAGATACTATCTCAGAGAGAAACCTGAGTCTGTTAATGAGCACAGCATCATAATGTCATATTTTACCTCATAAATGAATGAATGGGTTGAAAGTGATTATTTAATGCAGTTATGCTCGTTCAAAGAAGAGGCCTCACCTCAGCTTTGAAGCAATAATAGCTGAGTTCAGGACAGTTGACACATGAGTACAGATGTCATCAATCTTCCAAATTTTTTTTTATTCTACTTCTAAATATCACTTTAAATAGCATTTCCCATGAGCCTCAGCATTTTATCCTCTCACATACCAAATACTCCACTCCTTATCTATTCATGTTGACTGGCTTGTAATGAGTAAAGTTGAGTCTTCCATGTGAACATGTTCATAGCTGAAAGTAAACTCAGAGTAAACTGATCAGCTGACCAGGATCAGTGACACTGACGATCCCAGGGAGAGTCTGACTGAACTGAAGTGTCTTCATGTTAAACTATCAATACAGTGTTAAACTACTTTAGTGCAAGTTAAAGCTCTATTCAAAATCTTACTGACAATTTTATTTCTTTCTGTTTTATTGAGAACCATAGACTTTGAATGAAAAACAAGGGCCACCATGTTGTCAGGAGGTGAAAAGAAAAGAAATCTAAGGAATAAAAAAAAATGTTTTCATTAAACATGACAGATGTAATTTCATGTATTAATAGTCTAACGTAAGATTTTGTCTGGCCTGAATATGTTTTAGAATAACATGTTTGGGCGAGTAAACCTGTTTTATAAAACAGTCATATTTGTCACATATTGAGAGTAGAAGTTGGTTTTTCCACAGTGAATGCTGCGTGAACAACCTGCTGCTGTGACACAGGTGAACTGAGCTCAGACAAAAGGTGCATTCGACTTTATGTGGCGCTGCCAGCACTGACTTGATGTGACGCATGCTGGACATTTTTCATGTCAACACATTGTTGTATTGTTCCATGTTTACAGAACCTAATAACTCTGAAACAACCTGCTGACGGACTGACTGACTGACTGACTGACTGACTGACTGACTGTAGAATCTGGAGAATAAAAGCTTGTAGAATATGATACAAAGACTTTAGACATGGACATAAAAACAACTGATCAACAAAAGGAGCCTTTGTTTTCGTATTTTTATTTAGTCAGTGATGGAGTCTGGTCGTGATAAACACAGCAAACATTTCAAACTAAATGAATCTTTTTTTTTAAACCTTCAAACTCAGACCTTGGTCTCTGCTGAAGAATCTTCTGCCTCATCTTTATCTAACATCTCCATGGTTAGGACACTGACAGGTTCACACATGACTGACAGTGGAGGAGTTGGCTGTGATTGGTTTTTCTCCTGTGGTGAACACAGTGTATGGTCTATCACATTTGCCAAAACAGAATAAAATTCATTTAACTGACTAAAATGAGTCAAGGACTCAAGGACTACAGGACTCAAGTAAATGTACTTTAGTTACTGTCCACCCCTGCTCTTATATGGTTATCTCTATCTAAGGGACAGCCCTTTTTTCATATGGGCATCAACACTATAGTTTTCATTTCCAGCAGAAAGCTGTAAAACAGTTCAGATCAGAGTTTGTTACTGTAAAAGAAGTGATGTTCTTATAGGCCATCTATGTCATTCTCTAGTTTTCTTGTCTTTTCATCTCCTGACAACATGGTGGGCCTTCTTTTGTATTCTCAAGTCTATGGTTCTCAATAAAACAGAAAATACAAACAGAAATAAAATTGTTATCTCTCTATAAGAGTTGCTCTAGCAGGTATTTCATGTGTGACTTTTCCCTCCACACACCTTAACCCATCACCCTCCATGTTTTCATAAAACACTACTGAGATTTAATTTCATGTGTCAAAAGTCTAATGTAAACTTGTGTCTGGTCTGAACATTGTTTGGGGGAGTAAACAGTGTGAATAGATGTAGCAAAATAGTCATGTTTGTCACATATAGTAACATATTCAGGGGAACTCTCATCATTTCTAAATTTGAGTTTAAATTACATTAGATTAAAGTTTGACACTCTGCCCCTTAAGTCACCGGCAGCTCATGTTGACCCTCGAGCGTCTCCTCTATACAGAAGGTGACGCAATTTCATACCACTGGCACTGCCTGTAATTCGTCAGTAGTATGAAGCACAGAGTTGAGTATGTATAAATAATGGTATATATGCAATTGTCTCTGGTTAAGTCGCGCTACGGGAAGTAGACTGTGTCCCACGTGACTGCAGTCCTTCAATACCCCCTCCCCTGAAGTCAGCGATGTTGTGTAAAAAAGTGATTGTCAGCCAAAATGTGATTGCTGTCCGCGGATGCGCGCACGACCGCTTAAAGCTGTATCGCACAGTTTACATTTATAGTTTAAAGCTGCTTTTACCTCAATCAACAGTCATAACGTGTAAATACACACAACTTTATGTATATGGTAATAGCAGACATGTCTTTGTGAATCTTTAATGTTTATTATTCATTAGTCGAAAGCAATTTTATTGCCTCTGTTGACAAATTAAAGTCACTTTTTCTCTTAGATGTAAAGACTTTCTCCACTTCATATGTCACTTTTTTTGTAGAAAGTGTTCAGAGTGTGATTAGATATGTTAGGCAAGAATGTGGTCATTTTATACTTGCCCCATGAAGGCCTAATGGCTGAAACTTGTATGTTTTTATTGTTGTAATGAAGCCAGGAGAAAATAAAGGCTTTTTAAATCATCAAAGGTGTTCTCTTCCTCAAAATGATTGAGGTAAAAGCAGCTGCAGATGGATGTAAACTGTGCGATACAGCTTTAAGCGGCCGCGCGCGCTACCGCGCGCGCTACCGCGGACAGCATTCACATTTGGCAGAGAATCACTTTCTGGCAGGAAACCTGTAGCCAAGTCAGGCAAACGATCTGCAGAAGGAAAACTGGAAAGGCAAGTGTTTGTTTCAGTGCAGTTATCTTGTTTAACAAAAACAAAGAGCCACTGTTTTTGAATCACTTTAAAGTAGAAATGTTTCTTTTTTCACTCGGTTGTCTCAGTTGTCACACCCTGGACTGCAGTTGTTCTTGTATGACGCAGTAGCTACTGACCAACTTCCTCAAACAAAGGGTCACTTCTCATGTTGAAAGATTTCTACTGACCTGTAGAATAAACAGCTGGTAGAACATGATAAGTCTGTGAAAATGGCTATAAAAACACAACTCAATCAACAAAAGGAGACATTGTCATTTTTTTAGGCAGTGATGGAGTTTGGTCGTGGTGAAAAATGAAAGGAATTTTTCTTTATTTCTAAAATTTCAAACCTGGACTTAAGATAAGGCTGTGGTGCTGTCAGCGCATTCGTTTATTTGCAATAAGAGTTCTCCACTCGAAGTTATCCGTCGAAACCAATATTTATTTGCTATTAAAGAATCAAAATCAGCATGTACATGGATCTCCTCCGATCTGAAAACCACAGTCTGCAAACAGTTAGCTGTGGCCAACGTCCCAGAGAAGAGTGTCTATCTTAGCAGTTACACAGAGTTTTGTATATATTTTTGTAACTATCTGCTTGGTGAAAAAGCTGGGGAGAGGCCGTGGTTTAGACTCAGCTCTCCCTTCGTTGGTGCACAGGCTGGTCCCCACAGTGCCTCCTTCTGAGCTGACTGCACCTGGAGAAAAACCTGTGATGTATGGGTATGACTCCTACCACTAGGTGGAGTATGGTGTGTTGGTTGTGATCAACCCGTTGGAAGCTGTAGAGGAAGAAGCGGTAAATAAAAGACAGCCGTTCTGCAATACAGTTCTCCGTGTGTGTTTACAACATTTATACATTATTACAAAACCTACTCTCCCTTTTCATGTAACCGCCACTTCGCCATGCTAGAAGTTGTTGTTTACTTTAAGCAACTGAGGCGGTCACATGACATCCTGTTCTTCTGGTGTCTCCCTATGTGTGCGTGACTGCCTTGAGTTTCACCCTAGCGCCCCCTAACGCATAGCAACAGTAATCATC